CCCAGCCAAGGGCCAGCCATTGTGGGGCTGACAATAGCTTCCCAAGTGCTCCGGAGAAGAAATAAATGCACTCAACCTTCTCCAAGATTTTAAGTCTCATTAGTATAAATCAGTAACCCAATTAACGAAGGGTTTAGCATATTGATTTGCATCAGATTACACAAATTAATGACATATGTAGCAGGAGACAAGGCAGCAGGGAAGATGAACAGCTATGTAGGGGAATTGTACTGCCACAGTACATGAAAACGGGCACGGGTATCCCAGATTTCACGATGGAGATGAAGCTGCTCCTGCTCAGCTCCTGCAGGGCCATCAGGGAGACAGAGACATTACCTGGCTGTCGAAATGGCTAATGACCTGAGGCAGGTTTGCTGATGCAAATCTTAAGAGCTGCTTTTTAAATAAAATCTGCTTTAACAGTTGCAGCAAGGTCTGGTTAGGAGTTGAACAGAGATGGTCTCCCAGGGAGAGGTCCTTGGGTGAGACACATTCCCGCTCTGCTCCTGCTGGGACACACACAGGCAGATCCACCACAAAGAACAAAGACTTGGGGTTGGGGAAAACGCAGCCAGGGCAACAAGGAAACATGGGGCAAAGACATCAGGAGAGGGCTGGAAGGAGCCCAAAAGGGGGAGAGGCCAACAAAGCAGGGCAGGTTTAGGGAGGAAAAGCAGCTCCACCAGCACCCTGCCTACAGCACGTGGACAGCAGAGGAAGGCAACACAACATTAGGACATGCTGTCAGTGCCCTCCAAGACCTGCCAAGTTCAACAAAGCCTCTCCCCCATGGCTGCCTGCCCCTTCCGCGCCTGGCAGGGTCCCCCTGCTCTTGCCAGGCTGCCTAGCCCAAAAGACCGAAAAGGACAGTCCTCCCACACAGAGGGACAAAGGCACTGGGCCATGCCCAGGATGCCTCCCCTCCTCCCAGGGTGGGCAGAGTCTCCTTGCTCCAGCAGTTATAAAAGGGCTTTCAATCCATGTAATCCATTAGATACAAATTACAGCAATTTAAGCACACTTGACCCAGACTTACAGCAAGCCCATAAAGAGCTGTGTCTTCCCCAGCAATTGACACTGTTACAGGCCCTCAAACAAACCACAGCAGAGGATTAAAAAACAAGACAATAATAAAGCAAACCAAACCCAGAAAACACGATGCCTGAAACAGCATTATCAAGAAATGAAAACCATTCCTGGGTTTGGGTCATATTCCGACAGGTTTAAAACCACCAGTATTGCACCATTTCTAACCAATGCATGTCTTGCAGCTACTGTAAGTCATTAAATCACAGCCACTGGAAGGGTGGTGCCATGAAGGTCAGCACTACATAATCATTCAGGATGGGGACTGTAACTCCCAGCCCAGGGAACATGGGCAGGAGGAATGGTGCTGACCCCATGGCTGCTCGCCCTCCCAGGGTGGCTCCTGGCTGTGAGCTCCCTGGTAGCAGCTCAGGTCAACACAGATCCCACTAGCCAGGTGGGGGATTGCAATGTTCCTGCATCAATTTCCACTGCCTTCTATGCATTTGTTTATTTATTCTGAAATTACTACTAGCCTTAGATGGCATCCCAAGGCAGAGAAGCAGCAGAGGACAGGCCACCCTCCCATCAGCCCTGCAGGGGTCACAGTACTGAAGGGTGGCCATTGGCCATCACATCGAGCAGAGACCTGAGGGAGCAACACTCTGCAGTTACCCTAGTCAGCCTGCCTTACATGGAAAAATAAACCCATCAGTGTTAAAAAAAAAGGTGCAAGGCAATTTCTTCCAATCGTGACTGCTGGATTTATCCAGGTTGGGGTTTCCTGCAGCAGCCATGCCCACCAGGTTCCACACACATCATCTGTGGTCCTCGGGGTCCCCAAGACTGTCTGCGCTGGTAGGACCCGGATGCCTGTTGCTCCTGGCTGTGGAGATGTTCCACAAGAAGAAACGTTGCAGTTTTGTGCTGGCAAACAAAAGGAACAAGCAGGGCAGCAGTCCTCAGTGCCAGCTGTCACTGTTCTGGTTGCTACCATCACCATGGGGCGAACACTGCCACCTTCACACAGGGGACTGCATGAAGGGAAGAGGATGGCTTTGGGGGGAGGGTGACAAACAGGGCCAGCAGTCATTGGGGCACACATGATAATCAAAAGCACCCAAACAGCTGGAAGGGATTTGTACATGCCTGTCTCTGACGTGTTTGACACCAGACGCCATCATGAGAAAGAAGCCAGCACCACGTCAGGGGTCTCACCTGGTCCAGCAAGCCTTACATCCAACTAAAGCAATCAGAGGATGGTGATGGAAACCTCCACACCATCATGTCTAAGAAAAAAACTGAAGTATTGAGAGATGGCACCTTCCAGAATTAAAACACCAACTTGCCTGTGAGGACACAGCCAGGTTGGCCCAGTCAGGGGCAGGAGTAGGACCCAGCCCCAGGGGTGTGGGAGGGCTCCTCCTGCTGCGCTGGTCACTTGTCCTCACTTAGGGCCACCCATCGCACCACAAAGCCAGAGACTCTCTGCTTACAAGAGCCCTGTTATTTGCTCTCCTTTTCCTCCTTCGTTGCTATCAGAAGCACAAACAGGGAGGCTGGCCCACCAGAGAAGCTCAGAGCAGCCTGTGGGCGGACGCTGTGGCACAGACTAGTCCGTGCTTCAGGAGAGGCACAGAGCTCTGACACCAGGTCCTTTCAAGGGCTGTATGTTTTTATTCTGACTCTTTGGGAGACAGCACCTCATGTACTGCCAAGAACACAACCTTTCTGCTTCATTCTGCATGTGAAGTTCATTACCAATTTCATTAATTTAATTATTGATTCTATGTATGGGAATTTTCTTTTAAAACACAGTCGTAATGGCAACCGTCACGTGGAAAAAAAATAATACCTGAAGGAAGGGAGCACATGGCTTCCTCAAAGCCAGCAGCATGCCTTGTTCCTACCCGTATGGTTTAGTTTACAAGCTCATGTCAGAGAGCCGATTTCACACACAAACACAAAATAAAAGCAGGAACACAACTTTTGATCATCCTACATTGACGTTTACTCTTGTTTCCTGTAGCCGCAGGTGACAAACCTGTCCTTTATATAGTGGAGAACTGTTGTGCTATTAACAAAGTCAACTGGACACGCTTAAAACTCACGGCAGGTCTTTGCGTTGGGGGCTCGTACGAAACTAAGGAATAATAATTAGTAAGCAATTAGTTGTAAAATTATAAATATAAATTCAGAAACATTTTTGCTGAGCAGAAAAGCTCGAAAGCAGGAGAATTTACAAGCAACTTTCTTACATATGAACACTTACGCCAAGAAGAGAGACGTTGGAGGAGAAGTCAGCCCCTCTGAACACAAGGGCTTTTGTTTCACCATTCTCTGAGCTCTGAGGAAGTTTAACTTTTTTTTTTCAGTTAACTTTGCCAGCCTGCCAGCTGGGTATAAGCCAGAAGGGTTATCCAGTCAGACCTCACTGCGACATATTTACAATGGTAGTGCATCTAAGGTTTGTTTATTTCGGCATTAAAATTCAAACGGCTAGAATCATTTAAATAATTAAAGGGCAATCAGAAAATGTCATGAAACCAAACAAATCAGGAAAAGTCATGGAAACCATCAGCAATATTTAATTCAGAAATTCTCTTTGTTAGGGAACTTAGCTGAAAGAAAACAGCTGGATGTAGTTCAACTCTCTAAATTAAAAACAATCTAACAAGGTCTATAGGGATAACTCTTTCAGCTACATATTGGAGACCAGATTCACTTCTACCAAGTAAATGTAATAGCACTCAAAGCTAGAAAGGAAATTCCTCAGAACTGAGGTAGTTTCTAAGTATCAGCACATTTTCCAATTCCTCGCAAGGCAACTTAGCTATTTACAATCCATTTTTTCCCACACATAAATGTATAACTTTTTCAATTTTATGCTTCCATGATTTATTTTCTAAAGAAAAATAATCTAGCCAGAATATCCCTACTCTACTAACATCATGTTTTAATAAATAACTGGCTACTTCTAGTAAAATTAAGCCTCCAGGATTGTTTATACCAGCCAAGACTACTCTGACTTTATAGCTTTGCAGAAATTTGGTGTGAAAATAAAGTTGAATATAATGTTGACCCTGAGCTAACAAGTAATTAATGCTTCAATATAAAAATAGAAAATTATCCTTACAAGGGTGGAACAGAGCAAACCCTATCTCTCTGGATTGCTCTCCCAGCCGGATCCCAGTGTCCAGCCAGACCTAAAGGCTACCTAAAGCAGGAGGAGACGTGCAGAATAATTTTGAGTCTTTCCAAAGACTTTGTTTTCCCTGAATTCTTAAAAAAGTTATTTCATATATTTTCTTAAAAATATACATTTCTTTTATTAATGAGTTGCCGTTGACCATGAGACTGTTCCAACTGCAAAAGCACAGGTAGAGAGAGGATGGTGTGTAGGGTAGCGCCGAAAAGCTACAGCCGCCGGGCACCGGCTCCCAGGAGACCAAACACAGAAAAGGAGGTGTCTTCAGCCCTGCCAGCTTCTACTCCCATCTACCTGCACCAGTGCCGTGGGTCGCCAGCTGCCTGCTCCTTCCCTTTTGTCCCTCATCGGGGAGGAAACAAAGCTCTTGCAAAAACAAACCCAACACCTCCCCGCCTGCCCTCCCACAAAGTATGCCTTAAAACAAAAAAAAGAATAAAATTGAAAATTAATCCATCATTCATCTAACAAATTTGCAGACAAGACACATGTTGGCATTTGGATCTGCGAGAAGACCAGTTGCTTCCAACCGAACAAGTTTAATGCCTTATTCCCACGGGGGATGCGTGGCAAGGAGCTGATCTACAGGAGTTACAGCTAACGGCAAGGATCCCGGGGCACGAACAACAGCTCTTCTTAGCGTCTGCACAACTGCAGTTCTCTGGAGTCTCTTCCAATTTAACCAAACCTCCTGTAAAGAAAGTACAGCCTGCTCCTGGCATTAACGCCCTACGCAAACGGGGCACCTGGCACACTGACCAGCTCTGCATTCACCTTCTGTTTTACCACGTAATAAAGACAAATTACTTCCACTTCTCTCCAGATAAGGCAACTAACATAATGTGGATAAATGGGAAGTTAACTACATGAAACACGTTCTCTGCTTGTTGGGCAGTTATTTTCTCCCCACAAGGTAACATGATAAATAAAACCTGCTTCTGTACAGATATTTCTCTTTTCAGAAACACATACTTGTTACAGGCCAAGAGAAGACCCTGGGTTTTTTTTGTTTTGTTTTGTAAGAAATACGGTAAAATAAAATAAAATTAAAAAAAAGAAAAGTGATAAAGACACAAATGCAGAGCTAACTACAGGCTTGTATATACATTTTTGTTATCCACCTCTAACATGGACTTTTGGTGAACGAGACAGACTGGTAGTCCCTGTTCCTGTTACTCCCAGAATAGCAAGGGAAAAAAAAATAATCAGTACCTTAAAAATCAGTGGCAACATAGTAAAAACTGTACACTGTTGTCCATTAACTTAAAAAGTAAAGTCCCTAGATGGTATAAAAGTGAAAGCAGGTGCCTTCTAACTTCGATAATAAAAGTCTTTTTTCCCCCCCACCCCTATGCTGCACAATTATCTCCATTGTCTTTGCATGGCCAAGAACAAAAAGCTAAGGAGCAAGGCTGCTTGTGATAAACCGCTCCTGGTGGCGGCAGAAGTGTTCACATTCTTATCGCTTTTGTTGGAGCTCCCGGTGACTTCGGTGGCGTTGAACTCGAACTCCGGGGAGCACTGCTGGAGCTCACAGCCGCTGCCGCTCTCCTCCCCACTGCTCTCCTCACCTGCAGGAGACAAACACAGCTGCTGTCCTCCTCTGCCCTTGTTGGCAGGAGGCAGCAGCAGGGAAAAAAAGGCAAATGCATGGACGTTTTGACATTTAGGAGATGTAAGTGCAGGACCTCTGGTTAATGTGACTTCCATGTGCTGTTTGTCACAGGCACCCCTGCTGGTGGATGAAAAGCTGGACATGAGCCGGCAAGAAACCCAACCATATCCTGGGCTGCATCAAAAGCAGCGTGGCCAGCAGGTCAAGGGAGGTGATTCTCCCCCTCTACTCAGCTCTGGTGAGACCCCACCTGGAGCAGCATCCAGCTCTTGGGTCCTCAGCACAGGAAAGACACAAAGCTGTTGGAGTGGGTCCAGAGGAGGGCCACAAAGATGATCAGAGGGCTGGAGCACCTCTGATGAGAGCACTGGGGTTGTTTAACCTAGGGAAGAGAAGGCTCCAGGAAGACCTTATAGCAGCCTTCCAGTACTTACAAAGGGCCTACAGGAAAGAGGGGACAGACTTTCTAAAAAGGCCCGTAGTGACAGGACAAGGGGTAATGGTTTTAAACTCAAAGAGAGTAGATTCAGGCGACATATAAGAAAGAAATCTTACAATTAGGGTGGTGAAACACTGGCACAGGTTGCCAAATGAGGTGCTATGTGACCCAACCCTGAAGACATTCAGGGTCAGGCTTGATGGGGCTCTGAGCAAACTGATCCAGTTGAAAACGTCCCTGCTCACTGCAGGGGGGTTGGACTAGATGATTTTTAAAGGTCCCTCCCAACCCAAACCATTCTGTGATTCCATGGGAACGAGCCTCCTCACACAGCCTGTCGGAGATGCCGGTTTCCACCCTCTTTACTAACACCCTTACCCACAGCTGAAGCTTAACCAGCTACCCCGCATTAGCATGAAATCCAATTAAAAAGGGAAAAAGAAAAAGCAACAGGCAAACAACAGCAAACATACTTATGTCAATGAAGTCGACATCATTCCCACTGTACGCATTCTTCAGCTTGTTGGTCATCACCCGCAGAGCCATGATTTGCCGGCGAATCACCATATCTGGCTTGGTAATATCTACTTCGACCTCAGGGTTATTCACTTGACTTGCCAAGCCATTTCCAGTCACCGCAAAGTCGTACCTGAAAAGAAACCGTTCCTGCTGGTACCGGAGCTGTAGCTCAGCAGGGTGCCGTGCTGAAGGGTGACAGTGTGGGAACTCGGTGACGCCAGGCCAGTTTCCAGTCTAGGTGATATTCTGAGTCTAATGTAATCTTCCTAAATGCTAACCTTCACAGAGCTCTTCTCCAGCTTCTTACTCTATCTCCTCTCCCTGCAACCCAAGCAGCACGTGGAATTAAACAGTTTCCGTACACTCTGTGTCACAAAGGCAGGGGAAAGACAATTTTGTCCTCAACTTCGAAAAAGGAGGAAGATCTGGAGTTTATAATAACGGCTTAAAAGAGCATAAATCAGCTCACTGCAGGCAACAGAGCAAAACAAGCTGCTGAGACTACCTGATACCCAGTTAGAGGACACTTTTGGGAAAACAACCTTTGGGGCCATAGTTATCCCAGAGAAACTTATAGTC